AAATTGGTCAGTGAGAGTTGCCTTCTGAGGTGAAGAGGTCAACCTCTGCCTTGCCGAAGATCTCCCAGATTCTTTGAACCGTATGTGGGTGGAGCATCCACTCTTCTGAGGGGATGTTGCTCCGAGATAGCATGTCTGCTGCTTGGTTCAACCTCCCCGGCACACCCGTGTTGGAAGCGTCTGTCAAGACCACCTTCCTTCTGCAGATCATTGCCTGGAGTACGCCACGTTCCATCCACCGAGTCTTTCCAAGGTACCAGAGCTGCTACGCAGGCCCGGTCCACCTTGACACGAAGGCGTCCGAAGCATCTTCTGAAACGCCTTGAGAGGGCGAGGGGCTCCAACTTTGAATGAGGCCACGAGCTGCTGAATAGCCACTGCACGTTCTGACGCGACTACCACCCTCATTCGGGCTGAGTTGAGAACTGTTCCCAGGAACGAGATCCGTTGGCTGGGGGACAGCGTGCTCTTGGCAAAATTGACCCTAAATACCAGGCATTCTGAGTGGCTGAGGAGGAAGGATCTGTGAAATAGTAGCTCAACCTCCGACTGGGCCAAGATGAGCCAGTCATCGAGGTAATTCATCCATGCACTTCGTAAAAGTGCGAGGAGCTAGGGACAGTCCAAAGGCAAGGACCGTGTATTGATATGCCACTCCCTCGAAGGCAAATCTCAAGAATCGTCTGTGGTGGGGGGCTATCTGGATGTCTGGTCCCCTGGGCACACTTGCGAGAGGATCTGTTTCAATGTAATCATCCTGAACAGCCGTTTCATGAGGGCTTGGTTCAGGTGCCTGAGCTTTGAGCTGGGGGAACCGTTTCTACGGCTCCTATCGCCTGCAAATTCCTCACCTCGGAGCGCAGGACGTGTCTGCCAGGCCTCAGCCCACGTGACAAGGAGTTGGATTAATTAGAGCGGCTGGTCGCCGTATGGGGACCCCACACTCAGAAGAGGAATTTTGCTCTCTTTTGAAAATGCTTTCAAAAAATGCTTCGCTAGACTTAATGTTCTCATAGTGAGAGCGTGCGCGCTGCCTCAACGTTCAACAATTGGAAGCTGTCAGTGATATTAATCAGCATTCTCTTTTAATCCGCCTAAAAAGATCAAACCACTCATTAGAAGAAGAATACTGATGATCTTTCAGCGTGGGTGTGGCCCAGGCGAGAGGCGCATTCAAATATGAAGCTGTCAGCGATATTGAATCATTGGTGACAGCAATCTGCTCCGATCCTCTTAGAAGGATTGCGCTGCTCGACAATGTGAGGCGCCAATCCTCACGTGTAAACACACTGGCGGATCAAAGAGCTGCGTGGAGAGTGATGCACATGGGGGCTTTTGCCGGCGTTAAATCACTCATGCCTGATCGCTCATCCCCGCGAGTTGGCCCTTTCTTCCTCCGAGTAACTGGGAGGAGAGAAACACAAGAGCGGGGGAGGCGGGGCTCAGCGACGCACACACAAATGCGAAGCTGCCAGCACTCTGCTTTGATCTGTCTAGGAGGATTAAGCCGCTCGGTGTATCGAGGGGCGCTGATCCTCATGTGTAACACACACTGGCAGATCAGGCACGCATGATGTGTGCCAGCATGAAATTGCTCAAGCCTGATC